TCTGGATTTATGGTTTAAGATAATATACAAAACCAAGAATGCGATTAATCAATAAGAGTAAACAATTTTGTCAAGAGTAAAATTACGCACACAATTTATTTTCATTGAAAAGAATGGCAATTTGCAAATTACGGAAATAAAATGGAAGTGCTGATTAAAAGGATTATTAAAAAAGCTACAAAGTTGTGGTAATGTGTTCCACTCTAAAGTGCAAATGGAAAGAAATATAGCTGAAAAGACAGCTGTAATAAAAAACCCACTGTGCTTCATTTCCATTTGTTACCTTAAATACCCACAACTTTAAAATGTTTAATCATTTAAATTTTTTTCCCAACCACATATTCAGACTGGTATGTATTTGCTTTTCTTCTAATTACTTTAAAGATCATATTATTTGAATATTTCACTTTGCTGGAAGATTTGACTTGCTTTATCATGATGCATAAAGAAGTTTTTTTAAGTGAGGTATATTATGTCAGATATTTAAATTAGCAAATATTAATGCAGCAGTATAACTACTGAGTTGAAAAAGACTATACAATGTAGAAAGTGATGCTACAGGCAGCAGTCTCATATATTATTTAATTATGATTCTTGTATTTTATATCTTAATTTCTCATTTTCCTACACAGAGTTTTTTCCTGTTTGCAAAATTTGAAACAAGTGCGGAGGAAAATGTTTATTTCTGTTGTGATCTCATCTTATTTTTAAGAAAAACCACTCTCTTTTTCAATTTTCAGTTTGAACTGACTCACATTTCTTGACAAAATTGTTGGTGGATATTGCCTTGGAATATTCTTTTTTCCCCAGCAGAGTAGCGTTCGGACTGTAATTCTTCTCTGCATGGCATAGGGGAATTGTTTCAAACATCATGTATCACCAGTACCAAAGCCTGGTGCTCTGTAATGTTCACTCCCTGTCTCTGAGATATGGAGCAGCATATTTATGAGGTGGAAGAGGGTAATTTTTTCTAAAACTCTAAGGTTTTCTGTAATTATACCAATAGTTAGATCAATAAACATAGGAAATATCTGTAATGAAAACTCATACAAAATCGGTTTTGAAAGCATGGAACACAAATAAAAATTGTATCAAAACAAGACTTCTGAAAAATTATGGATTCAAATCTTATCTTTACTTATTTAATACGACTCAGTGTGATGCCTTAATTCATGCAGAGCAGTACCTCATTCCACATGCACTTCAGTTACTATCAGTGTTGCAGATTAGGTTTGTTCTAGGCTTACTGAAACATATCATATTAACACATTATTTTTCTGTCCATTCAGGCGACTAAGAGAAATATGTTTCACCACCATGTTTAAACATGATTGTTTTGTAGAATAAACAAGGCCTAAAGAATATTGACTTTAAGTTAATTAGAATTTGATTTAATGGATGTAGAGCACTGCAAATTAATCCTTTAAGCAGGGGTAAGGCTCCTTGCAAGAGTCTTACTTATATAGGACTTTGTAAGCAACATATAGTATATAAAAAGTAACTTCACACATCTGTCATCCTCAAACCTCTAGCATCAGTGCGGGCTTTTTTCTTTATGGAACAAGGAAATACACTTTAAAAGCAGTGGGTAATTACCTAGTTTGAAGGGGGAAAGTACTACTTGATTGAATAGATTTGTTTCCTTTTCTAAAATCTAAATTTATATGAACCTGTCAGACACAGATTGTAAATGATCCATCTTTGTTTTAAGGTGTTGCATATTTCAAGAGACTACTTGCAATATTAATGATTTTTTTAATAATATAGGGACCAGAATACTATATTTCAGTACCCATACTGTAAATGTGCCATTCTGGTCACAATAAATTCATCTTTCTCACTAGCTATTGCTGGCTGTAAGAATGAGGTGAGACTCCTGTGTCCTTCTCAAAGCATTTTTGCTAATAAAATTCATCAATATATCTGATCAAGTCTTTCACAGTCACTTTGCATCCAGTAGCTTATTTATTTGGACGATTTCTGATTTGACACACAGCCTCCAAAACAAATTAAGTAAAGATACAGAAGGCCAGTAAGCAATACAGATTTGTTTGGCCTCCTTTTGCAAGAAGAAAATATAGTGGGATGCAAGGCAAAAGAACTAAATTAAGCCTAGCAATAGGTGCTGCAAATATTATCCTGTTAAATTATATGTAATACCAGTGCAGAGGACTTGGACAGTAGTTTATATTGAAAAGCTCCTGAATATACATGATTATCCTCATTTGTTCCAAACTGTGAGCATGAAAATTAGGATTATGGGATTTAGCAGATTTTTTTTGTTTTTTCAGTAAAACCAGCAAGAACATTTTTATTACATGTTCATTTTTTTTTCTTGCCTGTGATAAAATTATATAGTCTCTAAAACATAAAGGGTACTGCTTTATTTTCAGAAATGCAGAGAATCCTCAATAAAGTCACCAGGATGGAAACAAAGACCTTTGCAGAGGCACCACTGCAGTGTGTCCGCCACAGCTCAGCCTCGATCCTGCCCCACACGGGCTCCGGAATCTGCTCAGCAGTTCTCAGCAACCTCACTTCTCTCTCTTTTTTGAGGAGAGTTTTAAATTTCATGGCTGTTTGTAAAAGTCTGCTTGTTTCATAAATAGAACCGATCCTGAAGAGCTAGTTGGGAGGAAAGTAATCTGATTTATAGTTATTGATCACTTCTAGCAAAAGTCTTTCTGGTCTTGTAAAGCCAGGCAGGGGCACAAATTGGGATAGAAGACAAATTTAATGCCTGGGTTTATTTGAGATAAGATATTCATATACACAACTGTTTGTAGGCCTAAGTCCCATCCTAGCTACAGTTATAAATATGTATCTGAGTGATCTCAGTGAATGCAATGTGATTTCTAATGTGTATGTGTACCTGAGTGTAAAGATGGGTCTTGATCATGAAAAGAGCTGTGGATGAGATTGATTCGCTGTGATGGAAGTGGCTCCATGGTCATGGAAAAGCTGTTCTGTGCAGTAAATGTGTATACTAGTCTTTGTCAGATTAATGCCCAAGTTGCCAGAACCATGACACATTACAGGAAAAGCCAATCAAATATGCAAACTAAAAAACCCCTAGATTATCTAATACATCTTTTCTAGTATTTACTGGTTTCAGTAAATGTAGATAATTCTTTAAACAAGACTAATAAAGATAGTTTCTCTTTCAACACAGGCCTTTCTCAGCTTTGGATATTGTCCATCAGACCTAAGAAAAGTAAATCTCTCTTGGGTATCTGTGTTCTTATTGATCTTGGTAATGATTAATAATTGCTGTGGGGAAAAAATCATTGTCAGTAGTACTTCAGAAACTAAATACGATTTTCATAACCGGCAAAATCAGCATGTCATTGTTTTATCAGACCCAGTCTGTCCACTACAGATTATGAGGTTTGGTGATCACTTAATGTGCATGGTACTTTGTACTTTATTCAGTTTCTTTTGCAGCATTGCAGAAGAGGAGTGAGTAAGCAGTTCCCCATCCCTCTTCAGTGGAGATGCACCTGATTGATAGTGATAAACTTTCAGTGAAGACTTCTTTCAGTAATCCCACAGTCCCTAGTCCATCAAGTAGGCCACTGCCTGTGCCACTGGTCTCTTCATTCGAAGGACTGACTGAGACACATGGTGAAAACAAGTGACTTTGGTTTCTAAGTTATTTAGTTGGGTTTTATTTCTAGTAAAGTAAAGCAACAGAAATCAGCAACTCTAAATGGAGCAGAGAGACATGTGTGAATAGTTTAGGAAAACAGCAGTTATTCCTGACAGGGGAAAAAAAAAAAAAGAAAAAACAAAAAAGATGGGAGCCAGTTTTCTTTATCACCAGGATGCTATAGGTCCACGTGTGGGTTTTGATTGACCTCTTATCTGTAAGAGTTTGCCTCTTACTGAAATGCCACGGCATGGAGCAGACAGGCTATCTCCTGTGCTTCCTGCCCCAAGCGTTACGTGTCCCCCAGGCCGCGGCGATTCCCAGCTGTTACACAGCTTGGGCGGCCCTGCTGGGACGTGGCAGCCGCCCCTCCGGGCTGCCTGTGCTCGGTCTGTACACCAGGTTACAGGTGCTTTAGAAATGGGAATATACTGGTCAATGTAGTTTCATTGGCTTACATGGTGACCGGAAGACAACCATTATTTTTATATTGGTTGATATAATTAGCCAACGACCTAGAGCAATTTTTTCGGCTAGTGCCTTTGTTTCCTTAAAATGCAGAATAAGGGATGGATTAAAATCTATTGCTGTATTACTGTAAGTCCTGTATATTTACTTTTCCTTGTAAGAAGTGCCAAACCGAGCTCAAAATTTAAAAAAAAAAAAAAAAAAGCCAGAGGACTGGTTTGAAGGGCGGGCGCTCGGCAGGGTAAAGTGCCGGGTGTGAGGGAGAGCAGAAGCCGCAGGTGTGCTCCAGGTGAGGGCGTCTGCCGGCCTTGGGCGAGCCAAGCCTTCCCACCGGGAACCGAAACTACCGCAAAACAAGAAACAGAAAAAAAAATATTCAAGCTTGGTTAATCATTACCGAGACAGAAGTTACGGACGTTCACCGCTGATCATATGACAGGATCCCATCTGAGATAAGGAAACACTCATCCCGAGCAGCGAGAGCTGAGAAGCCTTCCCTGCCTGGATGTTCTGACTTCGTTGTTTCGCTGTGGGAGAAGAGGGTCCACGCTCCCCCGTCGTTCCCGGAGATCAGCCCAGGCTGGCTGTTGTGTTGCTTTCCTGTTCCAAAGAGGAAGTGAGAAATTCCCTCCACATGTGCTCGGGCACTTGGATACTCAGGTTTCACTCCCGATCCGGGAGCTGCCTGTAATGAGCTCTCAGTGGGGCTCAGAAAGCAGCTTCCAGCTGTGCCAGCAGTCGTTTCATTTTGTGCCAGAGGAGGAGGGGGAGAAGAAATCCTGCAAAAAGCTAAAATGTTGATGGAGCAAAAATTGGTCTAAGGGTATTGCAACTGGGAAAAGCGAAAGAACAGCAGAAGCAGAGGAAGGCACAAGGACACAGGATGGGAAACTTTTGTCAGAAGCACTGTTCCTGTTTGGAGCCCTACATCCCTTGCTTATTCTCAGGGAGAGACAGTGAGCAGGATGAGAAAGGTGGCCAAGTCTTCACCAACCTTGCTGTGGTAAGGCATGACATCCAAGCAGGACAGAAAGACAGTGACAGTAAGATAAAAGAGAAACCTTTACCTCCACTGCCTGGCCAGCATCTGGTGAATATTTGCAGATTTGTGGCACTCTTCAACTATGAGGCTCGCACTGAAGAGGACTTGAGCTTCCAAGCCGGGGATAAGCTTGAAGTGTTGGATGCATCCCACGAGGGCTGGTGGTACGCTAGGCTTCTCCTGCCAACAGGGTCAGTCTGTCCTGGCCGCAAGCTCCAGGGCTACATCCCTGCCAACTACATAGCTGCTGACCAGAGCATCGAAGCTGAGCCGTGAGTAACTCACAAAACACACACCTCAGTCTCTTTTCTGTTAGGTTAGATGGGTTTGGGGCAGGAGGTCACGGCCTTTTCTCTTGCTGAGTCGTACCCTGCCACACTAAACCTCCAGTGGTCCTACTGGTGATAGCGTTGGTCAGCATGTGCAAGGAAAAGACACTGTGATCAGAAGAAAATCAATTGCAAAAGGCAGAGTGTTGAGGGTTTTGGTTTAAATCATTTCCCTCTCTGATATACCCTGATCACCTGTTTAAGAAGCATCTAGGAATATCAGGTTGGTTACCGCTCTGATGGTTCATTATTTTCATTTGTATAACGTTAAGTGTGTGTCAGATGCTTCCCACAGAGTGAAAAGATATGACCCCTGCCCAAAATAGCATTCAGCCTAACCAGCTGCAAAGTTCCCAGTTAATCAGGGTTTCAGGAATTTTAACACATTTACACATTTACACATTTAAATCGTCTTACAAATAGTAAGTCTCTAACATAACTTCTTCAAGTTTTCCTCTAAATTATCTCTTTCTTCTCTGGAGGCAAATCTGTACTCTCAGGACAAACTGAACCGGAGTAAGTACTGCAAAGGGCAAAAGACTGGATATAGCAATGGAGTATGAAATGAATTTGTTGAAGTTTCACAGAGTTTAATTATGCAGCCCATGTTTTTCTGCCCCCTCAAAACATGTCCAATCTTATTTAATATTCAGAACTAGAGCAGAAATCACATGGAATCAGTTACTTGGCTCCCTAGTGAGGATGTGTATGGTCTGAGTCAGCCTGGGACGCGGAGTTACTTACGTGTGTTGCAATCAGAAGCAGCGTTTGCTGAAATAGCTCTGACTGCAGTTCCAGAGGTATGTTTTGGCAAAAATTATCAGTGTGGAAAGAGACAGCAGAAATGGCATTCGTTATTGGTCTCGGAATTAATTTTGACTTTAGAGGGATGATGTTGCAGCTTTTCAGTTAAATCTCATTTGGACCTGAAACATCATCTTCGATCTGATCTGCGCACCGTACTGCTAGTGCTAGGAAGATTGGCTCAGATATGATTATGTCAGTCTTTTATCAGCTGTAGGATTTGTGCTAGAGGCATCTTAGGGCACCTGTAAGATTCCTCTCTAACCTGAAGACCTTAATTTCCGGAGTCTGACCAGCCGTTTCTATTTCTGTATTCAGGCAGACAAGCCTTTCAATGGTCATGTTCAAAAGAACTCTTCC